GGTCCAGGCCTTCTCAGCACAGACCTCCTGGTGGAGCTGTTCTTTAGTTGGAGCTGGGATTTCACTCATCAGAGCTTCAAGCTTTGAAAGGTAATACTGACTCTTCTCATCTTCACCCATAAGATGGTGCAGCCAAGCCAGATTCCCAAAGTTCACCATCAACCAGGGACCTTCATCAGAGTTTTTAAGACGTTTGAAGGTCTCAGTGGCTCGGCTGAAGAAGTTCAGGGCCTCTTCAGAGGAGCCCAGCTTATACTGGAGGAATCCCCGCAGGTTGTAGTTGTGACCCAGCCAGACGTTTCCCTCCTCTGTGCCGATGTCCTCCACAATACTCCGTATAACAGTAAGTCTGCGACTTCCAGGATCAAGGTTCCAGGTGAAATGGCACTGCAGGGCCTCCAGTTTGTTCTCCAGACTCTGAGCAGAACTGATGACACAATAAACATGACAGAAATTATTATTACTATTTTCTTTTTTTTCATTTTAACAGTGTCCTTTCTGGCGATGTGGCAATAGGAATAATTGTCTTGATGCCAAAAAGAGCCCAACAGATATTGTGGAGGAGTGCGGCTATCACATTGTGATTTCCACTTGATTTATGCATATAAATAGCTTTATTATAATTATGCCGGGAGTTTTACAGATTATATGGACACTGCAATGTAGGTAGTACAGAAAAGGACAAACTGAAAAAAAAAGAGAAAAGATGAAAGAAAGAGGAGATAAAAGGGAGATAACGATAAAACATTTTCAGTCTGCTTCATCACCTGCAAAGAGATTTTAAAAGAACCGCTCAACCAACGGACATGGTAAAATATATACGATAAAGTAACACCTAGATACTATCGCTGAAGTATAAGTAGTATTATTTAATCTGACATGTATTCTATGTTACCTGAAGATAAACAGCAAACAGCCACCCCAAAGTGGATATTTTGGGTAACAGAAAAAGAAAGTAAAAAAAAAAAATTTTTAGGAAAAATATCTGTTTCATTGTCCCTGGAACATCCAGGTTTTTTTTAATGTAGCTTTTGGTTATTTCTGTCATGTCCAGTATCTGAAGCTCTGATCCTGTGAGAAGGTCTATCCTGCCCCTTGTTTGAAATGTTTTCTTTATACTCTTACTTTGTTTGTGTTTCATGGGTTGTGTTCTAATGAACTATTATTATGTACACTGCAAAAAATTGAAATCTAAATAAGTTATTTGTTCCTAAACTAAGTACATTTGTTCTTGAATTGAGGAGGTAAGTGAGACCCTTTGCCAGTGGAACAAGACAATTTACATTTAAAATAAGAAAAAGCAACTGCATTGTCTTATTTCAAG